GCTTTAATTGAGCAGAATTTTTCCTCTCCTGATGAACAGGTCTGATTGATTGTTGTCTTTTTTCAAATTATATTCTTGTTAGTATTAGTATGTTTTTCAGTATCCACAAAACTCTTGCATTTTTTATGTGTATGACATTATCTAGCACTAGTTGAAGATGCATAATCATTATTGGATACTCATTTTTTTTTTTTTTTAAACAAGTCAATGACAAGGAATGAGCAAGTATCCATGCAATTAACTTCGTGATGAAGCCAACTTAATAAAGGAAATCTATTAGTAAATATAGACCTTTTTTTTTTTTTTTGAAAAATAGTAAACATTGAACTTATGTAGTACAGATTTAAGCAAACCAAGTCCAGTTGTGTGGATGACATCTTATGTAGATGCTATTTTTTTCCTGGTTACTTGGTCTTTAAAGTCCAATTTCCATCATTTGATAACATAAATTTCTACCATCTACGTTACAATACTTTGCCTTTTGGGCTAAGTTAGATACCTTTGACATCTCATTTGGGTGTTTCAACAGAAGAGGTATTGGATTAGGTTGCTAGATCGTCACTCTTTTTTGTGCACTTGCTGCACTTTAAGTAAATAGTTGGTCTATTCCTAATCAAGTCCGCATGTTACAGCTATTTTGTCTCTATGCCTCTGTCAGCTTGAAGACACACCAACCAGTTTTTTCTTTGCCATGACAGGTGGAAGACAGGTCTAATGAATTGAATTTGCTTATAGATTCTGGCTCAATTGACAATGAAATGGAAAAAGAAACAACTTTTGAGTCATGTGCAGAGTCCGAGGAACTGTCGATAGAATTTGAAAGGCTATGCAAGGTGCTTTAACTTTCTCTATTTAAAGTCAATCACCTTATCAGACTTTCACCTCTTATCTAATGTGATCCTGGTTCTAGACTGTATGTTGAAATGATTGCTACTTTCTACCGCAAGATTAACACGGTCCAAAATATTTTGATCAGCTGGCCATGCTTCTGTCTGAGTGATTTATTGTTTTCTTTGGATGAACAGCCTGCAGCCACTGTTTCTGAAGAATCTTGTTCAGATGCTGCCCGATATGCAACAAGGGACTCCATTGAGGCTAGAGATATCAATAAGACTAATGTTGAAGTGACTGGGCAAAAGAAAGATGATGTTTACGAGTGCACACCTGCAGGGAAAAATGGATTCATAGCTTGTGTGCAGGTAAACTTATCCTTCACTTTAAATGCATCATCTCTCCAGTTTTTAGGTCTTAGGTCCTTTCATTTTTGCAATGATAACCTCAGGATTTTCAGCTGTCACTCCATCTTTTGAACTTTCTGTTGTTTGCCACATTTGGGAGTTGAGAGTCCTGCATTGATTATTTACTTTCCTTCTATTAATCAAGATGTTAGGCATGAATTGTCAACCTTAACCCAAACATGATTACTTGTGAGAAATGAGACAGAAGAAAAACTGCTTTGGATTTCTCCTTTAGCGAACACTTGCTAATCTACTATTTGATGCTCTGTACTAGATGACCTCATTAGACCAGAATTTAAGAAAGCTATGTGGACTTTAGGGCTTAATTTTCCTACATCAACCAGCTTAAGTTTTTTTCTATAGCGAACACCTAATCTTGTGCTCTAGCATTTATCCTTCCATCCAAAATTAGGGCTTGATTTTCCTGTATCAATAAGCATTATTAGTTTGTGGACTCAGAATGTTTTAGTGTCGGAAAAATGCTCAGTTGATCTGCTATTCTAGTGATATAGTTTGATTTCTTTTTTACAAGGTAGTTTCTAATTGATTAGCTGGATGTTTGCATTCTTTCAATAGGCTTACAATGATATTGTGAACTCAAAATCAAGAGCTTTGCATCATGGAGAAATTGAGGAATGTGTGACTGGATCAAAGAACAGTGGAAGTAGCTCTTCTCCTGTATCTTCAAAGACAGAAGTGATTGTAAAAGTTGAAAAAGATGATGATATAGATATGAGCATTCAACTTGTTGCTGCTGATTTCCTTTGCAATACGCAAGATCTTAAAATCGAAGATCCTGTTGAAGGTCATCATCATCAATTGGTTAAAAAAAATCAATCCCAAAGAAATAAATCCAGTTTAAGTTCAATTCTAAAACCATCAGGGCAGAAAATACAGAAGAAATATGTCAAAGCTGTCAGACAATCTAACCTGAGCCTGATGCTAATGCCACAACGGAGGAGTGGAAAGAGGGAAAACCCTTCAAAAGCAGCGAACTTTGGACAATCAAATTCATCTGCCCTTCTGGTTAATGAGGGATCTAGTTCTCTTCCAGAAGCGATTCAGCAGAGAAAACCAGGAGACATAGCAAACACAAATCTCCCTAGGCTCTTAGGACCCATGATGCTAGAACCTCAGGAAGTTAGCAGCGAAGATGCTAGTATTCAGTCTCATGAAGTGACAGTTTCAAAGGGGGATGATCTTTGTGCAAGGAGTAATGTGTCTGCAAAGTTGCAGAAGCAGCTAGTGTTTGGCCTGGAATCACCTCTAGCGGCAGAAGGGATACCTTTACTGCTTGATTCTAGTCCAGAAAATGTGCATACTGTTGAAAGAAAGAGTGCTATTGCAGAGGATGTAGAAACAAAAGAGCTGCCCTCCTATGATAAAGAAAGCTTGGCATTAAAGCTTTCTCAAGATTCTGATTTCTTGAACAAGATGAGAGTGCCAGAACTAAAAAGAATTTTAAAGTTTCACAAGGTCCGAGGTTTTTCTAAATTCAAGAAAGAGAACATGATTGAGGAACTGATCAAACTACTAAGCAACTCATAAAACTACAAGCAAGAAATGTACAGGAAAACAATCCATTTTTTTTCTTCTAACCTGCTTTTTGTCTCTGCAGTGTTTTGCTCATTTTGTCTGGGCTTTGCTGTGGGATTATTTTTCAAGTCCCGGTAAGAAGTTGACTGTAGGTATACATTGATGACAATATACATCATACAGAGTTTACATTGCCGATTGTTGCTAGGGTAAAAATATGTAGGGTCTTCTGATGCTGTCGTTTCCTTTGTTTCCTTTTAATGTTCGCCTCATTCTACTATGGCACTGATGATTCATGTACAGAGCATATAAGTGAAACTGGAATTATGTGCAACAAATTGAAGAATGTTCATTCTATAGTTTTTCATCTTACATGGTTATTTTCATTTTTCATCTGCACTTGCATCGTGTTCATACGAGAATGTTCTTAGATTCAAGCTAAGATATCCGAGTACCTTGGTTTTGCAGCAAGAATTTTTGCATATTCCGGGGGTGATAAATGTGTACTCCATGTTTGAATTACTGTACTTTCATGGGCATTTTTCTGATACTTTTGGCATATGTACAACAGTACAAGACTTTAGGGGTTTATTTTTATGACCATAGTTACGTTTTTGGCATGCTCTACCTCACCAAATTACGTTCAAATCAAGGGTTTAAATGAAACTTAACCTATGACACTATTAGTTTTCAATTTATTCATGATATGCCCTAAACTTTTTCAAGTATATACTTTGTATCCATTGGGTATGCAAAACTGTACCAAATGCCATTGATGACTAACAACTACTTTGCTACGGTGAACAACGAGTGTAGTCACCACACAAGTGTCATGAAACCCAATGTCTATATTCTTGCTCGAATCAACTACCTTGCTCTCACATACCACAGTCTTTTCGTGTTGCTATTGTTGCGTCAATATTCTTGCTCGAATCAACTACCTTGCTCTCACATACACTGGGGGCTAGGGGAGTGACTGGTGGCAACCAACAGCTAGCCCGCCAAAACCGTCAAAAAGATCCAAACACACATCCGACAATCACACAACCCTTTTTCAATGTTATTGCAAGTACGTTGCTTCCAAAGTTCCAAACCCTATGTGCCCCGCCTCACCTTTTACTTAACTCCACGCAATATTCGCACAATTGATTGAAATATTGAACTAGCATCACGTTCTAGAATTAGAATCTATAGTCAATTAAAACAAATTCACATAAATTGGGAAAATTTCAAGCAAATTTTGCTCAAATCTAATCACGAAATCGAGCATTGGTTTCTGAATTTCCAAAAAATCAACATGGATTTGGCCCATGCATGTATAGGTACGAGTACTGGGTCTGATTTTCAAATAGCCGCGATTTGTATTCAAGATAATATTTTTAAACTTCAAACATGTTTTACATGGTTAAACTAGTTAATGGTCCGAACAATGCCCCGAGTTGCTACGTTAAATATTATATTGTAATGATTATGTTAAATAAAAGAGTTCAACCTATTTTTTTTAGTTGTTTGATGATTATCTCATATGCTTTTACTTTGTATCCTTTTTAATTACAATTTTTAGTTGTTTAGTAATTATTGACTATTGAACATAAAACATGGTATCTTATGACATGAAAAAACAAACGTTAACATTTTCTTGCAATCAATCAATCAATCACTACCTATAGTAGAAATTATCAATCAATATAAAATCAATTAAAGAATTTGTATAAATTAACACTCATTCAATCCAAGTTGAATAATTGAATATGTTTCAATGGAATAAGAAATCACAACTATTAAGTAGCTAAGATGGTAAAAAATATGCTTATGTAATTCTACTTGGTCCTAAGTTCAAACCTTGTTGTTTAACATTTTTAAATTGACATTAATTGGTAGTACATTCATGATCATATATAGAGTTATATGACATGAGTATATTTCTAGTGCATCATGTATGACATGGCATGTTTTTAGTATTAGGAACGGAACGCCTTTTAATATATTTTGTAGTAGTATAAGATAGCACAAAAGGCCAAACTTAACGTATCTTAGCTTGTTTTGTAGAAGGTAAGAGTAGTGAAAATTCACTATTCCAGTCGAAGTGTGGGGAAAAAAAAAAATCAACATCAAACATGTTTTTAGGAAGTGAAAATTCGTTAAAAGCGCTAATTTAGTGGATTTTAGCAAGCATGCTTTAAGCCGTAAGGTTTTATTCTACTATTGCCATTAAGCCAAAAGAAAAAAAACCACAAGTGCACCAGTAGTTGTCACCATTAAATAAAACCTTAATACTACAAATGGAACCCCCAAGAGAGAGGACAATAGCATTACTAACATACATAGTCATCAACACCATAAGAAAATTTGCACATTTTTGTGAAGTTTAAGATCCTGTCAAAAAAAAAAAAAAAAATCCATAACCCACCTATATCCACAATGTCATCAATTCAAAGTTTTTCAAAGTGCAGCCTAACTTCAAGTTTAATTACCTTACCCTTATTTCTACAAACTCCTAGAAAAATTACGCAGAAGTCAATCCAATTCTAAAGATGGAATGCGCTTCAGAACCTTGTTGCACCAAAGTAACTTGAGATTGTACTTTGTCTAACCTACAAAAAAGGCAATCAGCATAGCATCACTAAAGCATTCTATGCACATAACTTGGTCTATAAAATGAACAGACGCACTCTTTCCTTTGCAATACACTCCATTGTTTTACTAACAATTATTAAGGATTAATTTTCCATTGTTTTAGTCTATCTTCACTCAAAAATTGTGTACCATGTTTTCAACAATATCAATCATGTTACTTCTGTAACATTTGCGGAATACACATACATCATATTCAGTATTGGTGAGGTCACAGGTATAGTAATAAGGAAAAGCATACTACATATATCCAACAAACCAAGCACACCTAGTAAGCCTATTGTTTCACACTTTCACAGTATAGTCAATATAGCCAACATAAACATTTGGGCAAAAACGGCAAGGAAGACCAGGGTTAGAGTTAAAAGAGCAAGACAACAACATATCAGCAAACACATGAACTTCTTTTGAACTATCTCAGTCACCATGTGGAAAATCATAGTTGGCATTCACATTCAACAAAGCAACTCCACTACTATTCCCAAAGATCAACAGCTAGTCATATGCAAGTTCAAAACCAGCGACATCAGTGCATCACTACATCTATATTACTCTATGAAGCTCCTAGATCTTACTATAATATGTTAATAACACCGATCACCAGCAGATGCAAATCTTGCCATCAGTTGGTGTATCTAGGATGGCCAAAATGTATACCCATGGAGATTTGTAGAGTGGCTAGTTCTAATTGTGGTTGCAATGCATGAAAAGTACATAAAATTACTCCCTCCATCTGAAAGTGAATCATGTATACTACTATATAATGTCTGGCAAAAAGTTGTCATATTTCAGAAAGTGCTAATACCAGACTGAACTGAGAGAGTATATCTTACATGCTCCAGTAAGCAATTCAGACTATTGAAAGGAAAAAAATTAGCCAGTCAAAAGAAGACTACATCCAACTATCCTAGTATGAGCCTAGAAGGAAAAAAAAAATAGGAAAGTGTTGTACCAGACAAATTAGAAACTCTAAGCAAATCTTCAATAAATGAGACACTTTTTGATCAATAAATTTTGAAGAAGTTTCAACCGAGGACAGATAATAGAAAGGATATATTGCCACAATGGTGTCGTATGAAAGATCCAATTTGGGCAACAAATTAGCAAAAAAATTAATAAGGTTTCTTTTAGAAATTATACAAGCAGTTTCCTGGAAACATATCTCATAGAAACAGAGGCACTCCAATTATTGATATACTTTCAAAAAATCAACAGACAAAACGTGTGGTGAACTCTCCAATAATTTCAATTTCGCATGACTATGCCTTTTAGATTCACATTAATATTATGATCTAGCATACTTGTAAGTCTTTAATTAATTTGAGGAAGTCAACTCACCTATTTGGTATTCAATTGCTCCAACTTGAGATCAGCCTCTTTGAGTGATCGGACAAGGTGAATCATGCGGTAGTCCTTTTTATCATTCTCAACAGTGAGCTTAGCAACCTGCATAAAACCATCAACATGAGTATAAAATTATCTTAAAGTTCCTATCGTATCTCGTTAAGGATAACCATAGAAGAAAAGACAGCACAACTTTTAAGCATAAGGGACCTTCTCTTTCTCTGCGGCTAACTCTGCGGTCACTTCTTCCAGCTTCAACTCCAACTCTTTCACCTTCTTCGAACTTTCCTCATCGCCAGCCTTAGGAAATTCTGTTCATTCAAAAAATGCTGTTAAGAAACTAAATGAAATATTACATCAAAGCACATTTTTGGCGAAGTACCAAGGTTAGTTAAAGCATTTATCCCATACCCTTCTTACTCGAAATCAAAGTCTCAAGCTCGAGTTTCGATAGGCGTTCCTTTGAAAGCAAACAAACACAACATTAGAATCTCCTCTCATTTCATCTGAGGAAATAGAAACTGCTGTAAACTTCCTAGTAGACTATGTTACTTTTTGTAGCAAGATCTGAGGAAGTTACTTTTTTGTGCATTAATTCACAGCATACCCATTATAAACACAAATTCAAAAATTTCAACAAATATCAAATGCAGAGCATAATGATCATTCATGAATTTCAACATAAAAAATCGAATTTCACAAACATAAGATAACAACTATTACAAGCAAAAAAAATCCATTTAAAAAAAAAAAAAAAAAAAAAAAAGCAATTATGAAGACAATCAACAAAAAAATAGCAATAATCAGAATAATATACTCATAAAATCACTAAATTGGAGAATTATTCGAAGAATAAGAAGAAAAATGGAGCAAAAAAATGGGGAAAATTATAGTAGAAAGCAAACCTCGGCTTCAGAAGCTCTCTGGTAGAAGGGTTTGAGAAGATCTTTGAGACCCTCGTTTGGAATCGCACAATTCGCCATTGTTGGTATGTCTCAAAAACCCTAAGAATGTTCAACGTTTTATAATCTGTACTATTATGAAAATTTGGGTGTTTTTTTTGTGTTTGCGATGGCCGCCAGCGGTGTCAACAGTGGTGGTACGCAAGGACGGAAAAGCAAAAGGTCGGGTGCCCGTCGAGGATACGTATTTTTTGAGTGGGAATTTATATTATACACTCGAGCTTAAAATTATGCATCTCGGGGTGGAACTAATCTTTTAAGCAATTGTGCCTAAATTTGGAGTGGATCATCTTATCGTATACTTGTTGCTTCATTCACTACATACAAATATATAATAAGTGCACTATTTGTGTCACTTAGAAAGTAAGGCCTCATTTAGTCATTTGGTTGACACATAGATAAATTTTCGTAGGAAATTGTATTTCATGGGATGCTTTTCCCTAATGAACTTCTATAAGTTGTTTGGTTGCGGCAATGGAAGAAATTCCAATGAATTTTGATTAAGAAAATTGTCCAGCCTCCCCAACCTCCAACGCCGGCTAACTTACCCCCTCCCTTTCCCCCTTACCCCGACTCTCCCTTTTCCCCCGTCGTGCGACCACCCAGCCAAACCCTAACCCCCAAAACCCCACCCCCTCCCTTCCCCACCACGAAATAGCTCCCCTACCTTTCCCACACCCCAAAATGACCCTCCCCCCCACTGTTTTGGGGGTGGAGGAAAGTGGAAGGGGGTTGTTTCGTGGTAGGGAAGGGAGGAGGGTGGGATTTTGAGGGTTAGGGGTTGTTGGGTGGTCGCGCGACGGGGAAGGGGGAGGGTCATGGTAAAAGGAAAAGGAAGGGGCGGCCCAACTGACGGTGAACATGGTGAAGTTGGGCGCCGACAGGGGCCCTGGGGGTGAGGGATGGCTAGGGCTAGTATGGTGGAGATGGTTTTTTTTTTTTTACTTATTTTTTAATTAGTTAGTTTTTTTAATTATTTCAAAAAAAAGTTAGTTTTAAAATTGGTAGTTAAATGTGAATTAGTAATTAATAATCTTCTCTTTAAAAAAATTTAAAATTAATTTTTGACCAATCACATGGTGACACGTGTAAATTAATCTTAAAAATAATTACTTATTCAACAGGTTACATGTCACTTAAGACCAATAAAAGCAAATTCTCATTAAAGTTCGGATTATTAAAAAATTGGGCAAATGAGGTATAGTTGGGATTATTCTAGTCATTTTTTTCTATTACATAGTTGCTTTAATAATGAATTAATAGTATTAATCTGTTTCAAATAATGTTAAATTAATTCAAAACTAATAATTTTATTATTGATACTCTCCCTGTCCCTTATTTACAAACCTATTTCCTATTTTTCACAGGAATTAAGGAAGTTGGAGATTCCATAAAACTCATGATTGGGAAGTACAAATATGCATGTGGGGTTAGAGAGATATAGAGAGAAAGAAAAGATAGTTGGTAATTATTGAAGAGATGGAGAGAGAAAGTGTTGAAAAAGGATGTCAAAAGTACAAAAAAATTAAAAGAAAAATGATGACAATTCATCAAAAAGAGGAAATGTTGTGAACGGAACTGCAGGAACAAAAACAGTAAGAACAATGTTACCGGGAATGAGACTGAGTCGCGGACTATGTCGCTCTCTTTAGAACATTCACGGTACTGCCTCGAAGTTGTGCAAGCAGCTCTTACGTAACCGGATGTCCCCCAGGATAAAACAACCTCTCAAAGTTATAAAGTACCGGTGGATTTGCACTGAACCACCGGGCAACTAAACACCGAAAAAATAAAGAAACTGCTCGAATATTTGAAGAGGAAGAGAGATGTAGAAGATAATTTTTTGCTGTGTTTAAAACGCTTAACCCATTCTCCTTTTATAGCCAAAACCAGACAGTCGTTTTGAAACCCACTAACGGCATAACGGCATATTAAGTGCTAATCATGCCTAAAAATTAGCAGAAAACGGTCAAGAAATCAATTTAATTAATCGTTCAAAATTGATTAACGTAAATAACGGAAATTTAAATCAGTCAAAATGGAACAAAATTTATTTAAAACGGTCAATCAATTTATTTAAAACGTTATAAAAATTAAGTTTGTTTAATAAACCCGACCCAGCCCAGCCCGGCTCGGTTCAGCACGCGTGTGTGTGATAGGTTGACTTGGTAGGTAAGTCCTCCCTCTTCACAAAATGTGGGTAGCCCAAGGGCCACACCCAAATACTTCACAATCTATATTATAAAGGAGGACAAACTTCCCTTTCCCATCAATGTGGGACTTCTTGTTTTTCACAAAATTCACACACCAAAGCATTTGTTCCAACAGGAAATATTGTCAAAAAGTACATTATTTAAATAGAAATAGACATGTAATTTTGGTTTTCCCAAAATAATATATGGACATGTAGATAAGGGACGGAGGGAGTACAATTTTAGGCAATTATGCTTGGGACTTGAGGGAAAACAAATCTAATGATCTAGAATGGTTAAAGGAAAAAAGAGATGAAGAATTTAAGATATTCCGACAATGGGTCATCCATTTTTTATCATATGAACTAGGGACCTATGACTCGCACTCTAGCCTGTGGTTTTTGTGTAAAGGAGGCATATGAATTTGATTATGGAGCTTCAACAAAGGAACTGTATTGTATCCAATCTGGCTTTTGCCAATCTGGGACTTTCTACTACCAAGTATTTAGGCCTATATATTGCCCCCTTTTTTTTTTTTTTTTTTTTTTTTTTTAAGAGTAGCTAGCAATAGTCATACTTGTGTACTTGTATTTTCTTTGTTAAAAAAAGTTAGTCAATATACTAGTAATAAACTTTAGGAAAAGTTGTCAAAAATTCCTTCAGATGGTTTCAATTTTATACAAGGCATAAAAACTTGTAACCTGTTAAACCGGTAGTTCATGACACATGTCGTCATATAATTGGTCTAAATATGAAATTTTGATTTCTTTTTTTTTTTTTTGTTTAAATATATAATTTTAGATTTTGTTTTGGGTATTTTTTTTCTTGAAATTTTGCTACAATTGCTCTACCATGGTCCATGGGTAAGAACAAAGCAAGGAAGGAAGCGAGGAAGGGAGTTGCGCCATGTTTTTAGAATCTAAGGGGGACCAATTACAAGACCACAATCACATCTGATATCCTTAAATGGAGCCATGGATAGAATTGGGCAACAATTACAGAACAATAAGTGTATCCTTGGTCGAAATTAATTGCCAAAAATATTAATTGCAATTAATTCAAACTACCTTGCTTGAAAGATTTTCAATTGAGAGAACAACCTAGTAAAAGAGAAGAAAGATTTAAAATGAGAAGATTAGAGGGAAATTAGGGGGGAAATTGGAAGAAAAGAGGTGGGATTAGTAAATAAAAGGTCACATGATCTGCATATAGGGGGTCAACGCCAGAAAAGACCAAGTCAATGTCGGAAAGTGAGCCTTGGTTGTCTTTAACAAAAAATTTTACAATCTGATTTTAAGTTGCCAAATTTTTTTTTTAAAAGGTTTTTCCTGACAAAAGAGTTCTTTTAAAAGGTTTTTCCGGATAAAATTTCCAATATAATATACAAATTCTTATATATGACTGGCCACACCATGTGGCCAGCCATTATAGGGGTTAATTTGTTAGTGTAATAGGGGTTACTTGGTCATGTTAAAGGGGTTACTTCGTCAGTGTTATAAGATTACTCGGTCAGTGTTATTGGGGTTACTCGGTCAATATAATAGGGGTTATTTGGTTAGTGTTATAGGGGTTATTTTGTTCTTTTATAAGTGGTCACATAGTGTGGCCGGCCACACACAAAACGGGCTGGATATAATAAGCTTAAAAAATACAATTATCCGAACTTCACCATTTGTAGCTTATTGTGTGAAGTGAATTTTTAAAAATCCTAAAAACAAACAATTTTTTGGAATTCATGATATTCCCATGAATTCCAACTTTCTCCACTTTTAGTTTTTTGTGTGAACCAAAAACTATCAAAATAATCAATTTTCATGATTTTTCACTTCCTCCATTTTATTTAATTTGTCAACTTAACAAGCATTAAGATTTTCATACTCGTGCATGTAATGTGCGCGTCGATGACTATACGGAATAATCACTTTTGGTTCATGTAGCCTACCCCACTTATGGAATAAAGGCTTTGAGTAATTGTACATGTAACGTGGACATGATATATAATTTGTGTCACGTAATAAGCTTATTGCCTTTCCTTTATAGTAGTTTCTCATATCTATTTCTGTAATTTGAACATAGTATTTGGTCCATCTGATTTTAACTTACTTTAAATTATTTTTGACAAATTAATTTCTGTTAAATTAAGTGATTTTCAAACAAAATAAGTTTAGTTAAAGTCAGATGATTTCAAATAAGTTCATGCTTCGTAAGATAAGTTATAAGAAATAAGTTGAATCAAATAAAATAAGTGGCGGTTTCATTATGGGTTCAGCTGAATCCATACTAGATCCGAAAAATTCTGATTAGTTCTTTGCCATAAAGTTTAAATAAATAAAATATAATGTAATAGCATGTGTTGACCTAATAATGCGGCCCATCGGTTGAAGTCCATTAGTTTTTCTTTCTCTTTCTTGTTTTTTTTTTGGGCTTTTACTTTGTTTCTTTGGCTTTTCCATACTTAATACCCCAATTACCCATTATCCAAAATACCTTAACCATGAAATATGATTACATTGAAGATTTAATTTTTTTTCTAGATAAGATATATAATCGTTCCAAAATTTGGAGACTTGTCAAGTTCAATTATAATTTTTTATTATTTTGCACTTGTATTACTAATGTGCACATCCAAATTATCAATTGTAATGTATTTTAAATTATGTTATTAGATTTTATCCATATGCGAAATATGTGTTTAGCAACTCCGAACCCATAACAAAATTTTTTTGGAACCGCCACTGAATAAAATCATGACACCAACTTCGCTATAAGTATTGTGTAAGACTAGCTTCTTACGGGGTATGATTTAACAGAGCGTTTAGTATGTGGAAATGAAAGTTGATATTTAAGTAGTGGGAATTGGATTGAGAATTTAGGATTAAAAATTCAATAAAACAATGATAATGCTTTATTTGGATCGTAACAAAAATTGACATGAAATAAAAATCAAAGTTTCAATATCACCCTCACCAATTTTCAGTCTTTTTGCTTTTATTCATGGCAAATTAGTCTTTTCGTTTCTTTCTTCCCAATTTCCATCTCTAATGCATGCACTCATTGCCTCCTTGGTAATAAACCCATAGGAATAGACCTATTTTATGCTCAATGTCATTCTCATCTACAATTCTCATTCCCACAACAAAAAATGGAATTACTAAGCAAAAAATAGAATATACTAAGAAACGCTTGGTCTAATAAAAAAGTTTGCATCTCACAACCATGAGATTGTGGGATCAACCCCACTAAAAGCTCTTTAATATGGGGATTTCATTACCCTTCCCTTTACCAACCAAAAAAAAAACATAAACATTGAAACATTAATATCAACCTCCTCATTTCTAAATCCCAAGCCTCAATTCCCATAAACCAAACACCCCCTTAAACCAAACACCCTCTTAAGATCATGTCTTAATGTCTCATCATTCTATTAGGCCACTTTTGTAGGTGACTAGGTGGGATTTCCTTGCAAGAGGTAGACCATATTAATGCTGATTTACAAAATTTGTAAATTAGCCTCTTTTTTTCCTTAAAAAAAATAAAATGGGAAGAAAGTAGATGAAAAAAAAACCTACCCTCAATGTATTAGATGAAATGACCTTAGTACCCTAATATACAATTTTTTGTAAAGCTGACTTATTAACTTGAATTTTCAACTTATACAAGGCCACCCTCAAAATGAAGCATCATTGCAATGCATTACTATCTCAAGAGAATTTTTATTTATTGTTTTTGAAAGATACTATTTCAAGAGAAAATAATTTAAGAAGAGAAGGCACTTGTACAAAATTTTATAAAGAAAAAAATATACAGATTTTTTTTATGGGAAAATTACAAAGAATTGATGTTTTATTTGGAGGCAAATTTCACTATACATTTGGAATTTTGAATGTACAACACTTGACTCTTGATTAAAACAAATTTAACATTGTATCTTCCCAATTACATCTTCTCAATAAAATAAGCAATAAGAATGGTACTACTTGTATGTAAACTGCATCCTTTGACCTTTGGTATAATAGCTTTATCATAAGCATATACTTCGTAAATCATTATATATGATGTGGAAGTGTTATTCATTCTTTGATCCACTGCATAATTTAATAGTGAGATATCATGAATCTATGGGCTTCCCCAGGAGTGAAGGCATGTAGAAAGCATGTGATTGAGCAATTTCGATTCGATCCCGGGGATCATTCATGTTCTCATCCCTCAGTGCTTGGAGAATGTCTTCTGAAGATTGTTCCCTGTAAATTATCACAGCAGGCAATTGACAAACTAAACATCAGTAATATGTATCTTGCAAAATTAGCTACTTAATCTGGCAGGTGTATATATCACCTTTTTATGAGTATCTTGTATAGTGTCTTTAAGATCGGGCATAACTCAACAGGAGCAACTGGCTTGCGTTCTCCATGCCGAGACATATTCAGAGAGGATTGACTCAGGAGCTCATAGAAAGCTCCAACTGCTGAGACACCCTGATAAATTCAAGCTCAAAGTCATTATACAAAGTGATAAGACAAAAGTATCCATCGAAGTGAACTAATGTTATCGAGTTTGCATTATTTTTCTTCATCAACTATCAGAGTGATTATAAATCATAATCACAACACCAACAAAAAAAACACAAAAATCTAAGCCGGCGTTAATCCCATTGATGACATGATAGATCCTAAACTGTCTAGATTGGCTGATCTACCTTGGAGAATTACTGAATTAGGTGTCCTAAGTCCTTACTCCACCTAAAGCACCAATTTTTCTGGGAAAAAATTTTTCATTTATTGAGCCCCGAGCTTGTGGTCCTCCTTTGATTACAAGTTCAATTGGATGAACATTTAAAGTTAAGGTCTTTAAACTAAAAAATAAATATAGAATTTAAAGTTTTTGAAGAACATTACTTCTAAAATGTATATATAGGGACCAATTTACGAGATAGCCAGACTGTTATGATTGTAGAAGTATTTAAGGATAATTGAGATTCTGGATTTCCGGAAGCCTCTGGTCCCATATAGTATTTATAAATGATGGTGACCAAAATATGCAGCTGCCTTGCTGCTCCTCAGTTGGCCTTCAGAAAACTAACAGCCTAACAGGTCATGAGGTCACTACCCCTAAAAAAAAAAAAAATCGAAAGGTTGCAAAGAAATTACCTGAATCATCCCCTTGCCGCTGATGCTATCACCCATATCCAGATTCAAACCACCCTTTGCCAGCATTTGTCCATACCATGCATTCCGTCCTTTCAATAACGTCACATATGTGTCAGCCAGCAACGGCCCAGCAAGCTTCTCAGGATCCTCAGCCAGCAAATGAGTAATGAATATCATCTCTGATGTACAATGAGCAAAATAAACTGATTTGCTGGTAGCACTTTCATTGGTGAGGGCAGCTACCATTCCTGAAAACGTAAACAATGGAGGTTGAACTTGGATTTATCATTTATGATTTAGGTGACAATTTTTGTATTTATACATCCTATTAAATCTGACATATATGAATGCTTCACTAGTGTCAGAAAATATAACATTCAGGTACCTTCTTAATATGAATTTCACTGTAAGATACCTTTGTAACAACTGCTCAGAAATAACAAGGCACCTCAGCTCATTGAAATGTAATCACTTTTTTTAGTAGTACATTACTAGTCAATGATGTCCCAGGTTTTCATTAAAATGTAATCATAAATGTTTCTAACTCATCAGCCAAAATTTTCAGGAACATATAACTACGTGTTAGCTCCAATAACCAGAAGATTGTCAAACTTACCAGCTCCAATAGCATACACGTTCTTCAGACCGCCCATAACTTCATGAGTGACAAGGTCACTGTTATCCCACACAATGAAATGGGGTTGCCTTAGAAACTTTGCTAGATGTTTCCTCCACTTTTCTGCACCACATATACGTGCATTAGCATATTCTTTATTGTAGATCTCAGAGGCAATATTTGGTCCACCTAGATAGAGGATATTTTCCATTGGTACCCCAGCTGCAATGCACGAACATATGTGATTAAGATTTGATAGAGCAAGGCGTGCAAACATAAAACTGATTTCTATGAGTTTGTTAGATGAAAATGAGACGTGAAATGTTCAATACATCAAAAGTCTACTGGGGTCTACAGTATAGTTAGCAATTTTGCCAGAACATGACATTCATTAATAGGGTCATAACTTTTCTAATTAGCACATCTTTCAACTTCTTTAGGTTTCTGCCTTCTTTCCTTAAACAAGTAGTTGCCTTATAAACAAGGGAAGGAGGATGATAACAGGAAACAATTATCAAACAGTTGGCACAAAGAGAAGCGTCTGCCATCAAGCTCCCTTTCGTAGAAGTAGGTCGCCACTTGACATGATAATCATGGATTCATGATCACAGAACACTCAATTTCTTCTCGCCTTCCTTTTTCTAAACTCTAAGAAGGCAGAACAAGTTATGACAGTGTAAGTTATTCCAAGTAATTTGCAATGAATTACTGGTAGATCTAGTCAAGGACTATGAAAATAGTAAAATAATTAAATACACTCAAGGACACACGTTTACTAACTTATTTCCTCAATCCTCACTAGTGTTGTTGGGAGAATTCAACAAGAACATGTTTTCGCTCGAAATGCCACAAGTTTTTAACAATTAACTTAAATGGTGTTTTCAAAAAAAAAAAAAAAAAAAAAGTAACTTAAATGAAGTGCATCACATTAGCTAGGAAAGATCAATAAGAAACAGGCTGAAAGAAGTGATTTATTATACAACTGATTAAAAGAGGGAGAAAGAGATTTTCTCACTTGCTCGGTGAATCATCCGTGTGGGAGTGATTATGTGGGGAACAGGTTGCAATGCAGCCTCAATTCCCTTAGATAAAGATATGATTATAGGAACTGTGAGCCTCTCTTTCCAATACTTGCTGATCTCTTCAAACACTTCACGAGTCTCGGTCGAAGGCAATCCATTCACAACAATGTCTGCATCCCAAACCGCTTCCTGTAAGTTGGTCACGACCTTCAATGGACAAAGTGGAGTATCAACCATGTTTAGGCAGAATCCATCCCTCAATATCTCATCTGCATAAAGTGTTCGATCACCCAACCTCGCTTCAACATACTTCAAATATGCACAACGCCGAATCAATCTCCTTAATACATCCTCTCTTGAATTAATCACTTCAAAGAGATGCTCAGCAGTTGGTCTATCAACTGCTCTTCCACACCTCCTCCATATCCTAATTTGTATCTTATCACGATACCGACCATAACTATCTTGCAACAAAGCTAGAAATACACTACCCCAAGCACCAGCCCCAACACCGGCAATTCTTAAAGGATCACCATCGGCCTTTCCCAATAGCCTTCGAAGCTCATCGAGCTTTTCCTCATTACCATTATAATTATGAATTGATCCATTACTATAATCATTATTCATGACTTCAACACTTCCAACCATATCTTCTATATCAATCAATTATCAACACCAAATACAGCAAAACACCACAAATCAATACTACAATAACCCCAAAGTCTTGTATTTATACCAAACAGGCAGTCTGCAATTTTCTAGCCCACTTGTACTAAATAATGCTTGCTTCTTAAATAACACTAGTAAAATTCTATCAATACCCACTTCGAATTACGAAATCGCTATTGCTATTCTGATCCTATTACACCAAAATTCAACTCTTTGTATCCCAAATTAGAAATCCAATCATTCAAAACAAAATCTTGATGTCTAATAAAACATAATCTTGATAGGTGGATTTTCTCACCTAAATCATAAATGATCAATATATTCTTGCTAATATAATTTTGCCCCTAAATCTTATTACCACTAAGAAAAATAACAAATCAATTAAAGAGTTGAAAAAACAGCACATAAACAACACATATTGCCAACAATATCCTTGGTTTTTCCGTCAAGTTTGTTCATCTACTTAGCTATACTTCCAAAACACTAAAACAAAAACAATCTCTAACTAATTTAATAATAATAATCAGAATCAAATTTCAAAGTTCAAACCTTTTCCTTGTCATCTTCTTCCTTCTTCTCTAGTCAAAACGGCAAAATTATACATTAAAAAAATGAAAATTTAAATCTTTTAAAAAAACCCTCAAAAACCCACTAATTTAATCAAAAATCATGCAATTATAGTTGAGAAATTAGGTGCCCAAAATCTAAACCCAGCTCAAAAGTGCATTAAAAAATTGTGGGTTTTGGCACACTAACCCAGCTCAAAAGTGCAATAATAAAATAGTAGTTGAATTATATAGGAGAGAAATTCAAAATTAGAAGAAAGATTAAATAAGGATCAATTCGGTAGGAATGAAGAAGCATTAATAGATAGAAAATACAGTGTGCCAACTCCCCCAACGGTCATTAAATATCATGGGAAAATGCTGTTGTTAAGGATGAGGAGAGAGAAAATCACAGTTTTCAGTCTTTTTCACATTGCCCATGCCTACCCAATTCAATTTTCGGAGCTAACCTTTGATTTTGGGGTTTTTTTTTTCTTTTCTTATTTTTTTTGGATTTTTTTGCCATTTTTGCTGAATTTGTACTCTGTAGTCTGTAGTTCTGCAAACCCCATACCACTGCCTTTTTCCAAGACAACTTTCTGTTTTTGCCTCTTTGGTGAACAATTGAACGTGCATTGTTTTGATGTTGAGCCCAAGCTTATGGTCTATGACAGCTAACATTTAAGACATTTAACTCGTTTTTGATTAGGGGTGATAATTAGACTGACTTGATTCGTGAGCTACTTGAATTTGGCTCAAGTGAAGTATTAAAAAATTTTAGGGTCTGTTTCGATTTACTGAAAATAACTTAACTGAACTGAATTGATTGGGGCTGAATTGAACTGAACTGAGCTAAATTGTTTATGAGAGAAGGAAATTAGGAACTGAACTAAACAGAACAGAACCGAACTGATTGGAGCTGAACTGAACTGAACTGAAATTAAGTTGAACAGAACAGACCCTTAGTTTGGCAAAATTAAGGTGAAGAGAATAGAGCCTAAATTAAAAGTTTAAGTAATACTAAGCTTGATTAAAGTATGTATTTCGCTAATTTTTACTTTTTCCTCGTTTTTTTTTTCCTTTCTCTTTCTCATTTTTCAACTTAAATCTAATGCTAACTTTGGTCAGAAATTTCACTCTTTTACAAATTCATTTCACATGTCAAATTCTTAGTGGACCAAAATCTTTAAAACATAAAAACAAAATGAAATGAATTGTGGCATTACAAGGAGATGTCGAACTTTCTAGGCATGCCCACTAGCTTCCATAATAATGGGAATATTAGATTTGTCAAAGATTGATATGACTCGAGAAATCGATACAAAGTCAGCAACATTTATATTTGATTTTACCTGAGAACTAAGGCTTTCAAAACCAGCTCAAAAATGATGTGATGTTAATCATACATTTGAATTAATATGTGAATTTAAGATTTGAACTTGGTTTGCAACCAACTGAAAGAAATTAAGACAACTGATGTGAACTCGATAACAACGAAGCGTATTGAGTTTAGTTCAATTGACCTAATAACAACTACATAACTAATATAATCAAGTAAGAATGCAAACATTGCAATCTACTTGTATATGATTTAGTTCAATTAAAAGGAATTCCACTCAAATCCAAATTCAACCCAAATGTTTAGTCTGACTTGAGTCAATGATAACTGGTATTAAGACCCCTTATTACCGGCCTTAAGTACTTACACATTAACCACTTTACTCCTTTCATTCAACATGTTTTAGCTTAGTTTGGAATAATTATTGTAATTGTATATCTTATGTGTACTTTAGCTTATTTTGTTACACTTTTAGGATTTCGTGCTAATTCTATTCTTTCAATCTTGTAGATACAACCTAGGAGGCTTACAAGGGTGGAAGAAGTGCCCCGTGACAAAATAAGATCAAGTGAAGCAGTTTTGGAGGCATAATGTTTGCACAAGAGTTTGATTCAAATGGATATATTTCCTTATATTACTCAACATCTGAGGGTGATTTAATGTGGAGGTGATAGCTCAACGAATGGTCACACTCATGAAATAGAGAGTGAAAAAGTGGAGTTATTATATCTTTACCTAAAGTTGTCTTGTGCACATGATTAAAATGGACATCTTAACTTAAAAATAGATATTGACAGCTCGTTTTGGGACTTCAAAAGCTATTGATCTATCAAACGACCACCAAAATAACAATTCCAGAGATTCAGACGTTTTGAATCACATATTTTTTTTATCTTCAACAAGTATATATCTTATTTGTAGTAACTTGTAATATTTTTTTTAAATCTATCTCTAACTTTTCCCTCGTGTAACGAACTTCCATATACGATTTTAAGTTGAGAAGGGGAGACTTCAAGAGAGAAATTAAAAGTGGGAAATTTATGGCTATTAGCCAATCTCAATGAGTGAAAATTCACTCTTCAAGTACCAAATTACATGAACATTCACCATGCATACAAGGTGAAAGTAAGAAGTCATGGTTCACTAAGCTAGGGGTCACTCAACCCCTATTTTTAAAGAACTTCTCACAAGTATTGCAAGATAAAGTAAGAAACAAATGAACTACAATTAACAAAGCACAAAATATAGTACTTTTTTTTTTGAATAGAAATAAAGTACTTATTAATAATGACAACAAACATTCAATTTGAAAAACATAAGGAACATTACTAACAAAAAAGGTGATGAACATCAAACTAACAACATACTTAAACAAAGAACAATGCATGACAGAAAGCATTGCATGTAAATGAAAGAAATTAAAGGAAAGCAATGCAAATAGATGAAAGCAATAAATGAAAATGGATAAAGGTAAAAAAAAAAAAAAAAAAAAAAAAAAAAAAAAAAAAAAACATTTAAATTAAAGAAGTACGTGGATAAGGGGATGGAGTAAAAACATTAATTGATAATGCATTTTGAGTTTTTACTTTTGCTATTAATTATATCATAGTATCACTAATTCATGGTTGTGCTTGTGCATGTTGTAATACTTTTCACAATTACTTTATCTTTGTAAATGGTAAATGTAAACGACTTACAAAATTAGTACAAGCCAATAAGTTATTTTTCATTTTACAATGGTATCAAACTTGTTTCTTTTGTAAATTAACGTCCGAATAAGATTGGTATGCTTTTTTTTTTTTTTTTTTTTTCTTCTTTTCTTTTCTTTTTCTTTTTGTAAATTAAAATTGTTGCTTGAAGTAGCAATTTATACTATCTGTTTCGGTTGAAAACAATGGGACCTTGCCGAAGGTCCACTAAAATGGAGAAGACTGGATTCGATCCAAGCTGTGTTGGGCCGAAGGTTTCCTGCACAGTGAACACACGTAAACTAGCCTCGGGGGTGTTTCCGAGGAAGGCCCCTCCGATGCTAAAGTCAGTACAATGTGTAAAAAGGAAGACACTATGCAAGAGAGTTTGTAGCTTGAGGCTTTTGTGGAGTATTCCTCAATGCAAGAATGAGCATATGAGTTGGAATAATCGGTGTATGAGATAATGCATGTGATGATGCGTCTGTTGTTGTGTCTGATCTCGTTGATCTCGTATGTGATGTTATGAGATGTCCTCTTGAATGTGTTAATATGAGGGCTTTTATACCTCATCATATTTGGAGAGGTTGGGCTTTAGCCCAATTGGCTTACTTTGTGGGCTGACTTTTGACTTTTGAGCAATTGGAGAGTTGAACCTTGACCTTGGGCTTTTAATTGGATCATTTAGTGCTCAGGCCCAATTTTGACTAAATTGGACCCAAACAACTTGCCCCCCAGACCCGATTCGGAAGAATGACGGGTCGGGTTTGATTTAACTCAGAAAAGGAGGGAAGTAAATGATTTAATTGATCCAAAAATTTGAATTTAAACCGTAATTAATGAGATAACAACGGTTAATGATTTGCGGAAGTTGGACGGATAATGGGCGGTTTAATCACAAGACATGTGTTTAATGGTTACTTAGTGGGTACTTAAGAGAAATTAAAGCACAGACTCTTCGTATCCCGTACCTGGAGATATAAACAGAGGCGCGTCATTCTCCTCACTTATTCACCAACACAAACCCAGAATTCTTCGAGAGAGAATCCAAGAATCCGTATCAAAACTTCGCAAATTCCCCCGAGCATTGAGCTTAGAAACTGAGACTTGCCACTACGAACTCGTAAACCGGCAACTTTCGCTTCAGATTAAGGTAAATTCCTTTGATTTCAGTTTATTTTTCTTCGAATTCGAACTCCTTCCCCTTTTCTTTCGACTTTTCTCTTCGAAATAGTCCATGGCAAGAGGAGTTAGAGGTAGAGCCCGTGCTCCAAGAAGAGCAAGGCCGATTCCCGATCCTAGGAATAGGATTGGGACCTGGAATGGTCGAAGGCCGGAGTCTGACCATGCTGAAGGGATTAGGGCGACTCCCCTTTCCTCGGCTCCTCCTCAAAGAACGGGTGAGCCGAGTGCTTCTGGACGGGACGATGAAATTCCCGCTGTCCTTTGGGATATCCTCCCTGGGTTTTCAGAGTGGGAGAATGCCGAAGTCGCTTCGGCCATGATAAAGAACCGCCCCTACTCATGGTGGGTAGAGAACGCCGATCAATATCGATTTGCTGAGCAAATTGAGTTGCACTACGGCATTTTTGAAGCTGATGGATATTGGTGCCGAATGCCCTCAGCATCCGATAGAATCCATCGTCCACCCCCGGGGTATGTGGGGGTGTACACGAGACAGCTTCAGTATGGGCTGAGGTTCCCTTTGGACGTTTTCGTCCGAGACTTGCTGATCCATTACAACATTTCCCTATGTCAGCTAACCCCCACCAGCATCCGAAGGGTGATGACATACTTATGGGTCTGCAAGTTCTTCAAATACGTGCCGAACCTGCACTGCTTCAGAAAGCTCCATCGGCTAGTGCCAAATATTCAGAGTGGGCACGGAAGCCATGGTTCTGGGTGGTATCGGATTGAGTCCCGGCCCCAATACTTGACCATGTGGCCAAATGACTCTTCAGACAAGGACTGGAGAGGTCAATGGATTTGGGTTAGGGCACCCACAGATCCGGGCCACCCTTGCGTCTTCAGCGCTCCCCGGTACTTAGCTGAGCCTGATCCCGAAATGGGAAGTCTAGGTCCCCCCGCAGATAACGGGGCGGATCCGAACCTGGATCAGCAACATATCTTCGGCAAGCTGCCGAACCCGGGGGGGAGTGGTCGAATGCAGCATATCCCGGAGACTTGGCTCCCCGATACGCATTACGTTTTCCAAGAGAATATGCTAGCAGCTGTTGGCCTCAGCCGAAAGTTTAAGGATGGTAAGCTTCTTCGGCTGGGGCCGAGGCTTTTTAACTACCTCTTTTTCTTCTCTCGCTTTGCTTTTTTATGCTGTGCCAACATATCTGAGCTAAACTTTTTCCCTTTCCTTTTTTCAGAGCGAGACGAGACCAACGTTGGTATTAACTACGCTCGTCTTGGTGTTAACCGAGAGCGAGTTGTAACTGAACGGGCCCCGTCTATCACTGAGCCGAGGCATAGGGAAGTTCATCTGGACTCTTCCCACTTCCAAATTGAGGCTGTTGCTCTGTATCAGAGGCAGAAGCCTTGGTGGAAGAAGAGAGACCCTTGGTTTCAGCTGCTGAACGAAGAAGCTGAAGCTGCCC